ACTTCACATCAACGAGAGATTGCTTCGTACTTGTGTACGTTGACGATCTATTGTTCCTAGGCGAGGAACAAGTCACAAACCAACTCTTCACAGCAATTCAGCAACAACTATTACTTCGACCAACAGGAACACTCACCCCAGGAAACACTGTGTCGTTTCTGGGACGCAACATCACCAACCGTGGTGACCATTACGAAATCAGCCTCAACGACGACTATACAACAACCCTTCTCACGGAGATGGGTCTCCAAGACTGCAAACCGGCACCAGCACCAGGGACATCAGCATTGAAGACAGCAACAGCAGACCACGAACAGGCTCTTTCACAAGAAGAGCATGCGCAATTTCGACGAGCAGTCGGGAAACTTCAATGGATGACCTACACCAGGCCAGACATCAGCTACGCAACAAAGGAGTTAGCACGATCACTGCAGCAGCCAACAACAGCTGATCAACAAAAGCTGAAGCATCTACTACGCTACATCAAAGGAACAAGACACTACAAGCAGATCATCCGACCAACAGCAAAAATTCCACCACGAGCCATCCCAGATCTCAACGTTTTTGTGGACAGCGACTGGGCAGGATGTCCACAGACAAGACGGTCAACATCGGGATTCGTGATCACACTACTCGGCGCAACAATCAACTACGGAAGCAGAACACAGGCGACAATAGCATTGTCGAGCGCAGAGGCCGAGCTCTACGCGATCAACACCGGTGCAACTGAAGCATTACATCTCAGAAACCTTCCCATCGAGCTCCTCAACGTGAGCAAGGTCAACATCAAGATCCACACAGACTCTTCGAGTGGCAAGAGCATGGCAACACGCATCGGGTCATCAAGAAAGGCCAAACACATTGACCTGAAACATCTATTCATACAACAACTGATCCAGCACGATTACGTGCGGCTGATCAAAATACACACCAACGACAACCCGGCAGACATATTCACAAAATATGTCCCAACAGACACCCTGCAACGACACCTTCAACAGGCTGGAATCACTTTCCAGCAGCACTACCACAACTGACGCACCACCTCAACAGTTTCACCAGCAGCAGCGTGTAACAAGCAGGCGGCAGCTAAGTATCACACTACGCGCGTGCACGACACACACACACACATCCTAGATGTTGAATTTGAGCTATGGGATCAACAAAGTTGATCACTCCCTTGCCGTAACTACAGCGTGAAGTATTTCAACAAGATGTATCACACAGTATGACATGTACCACTTCAACATAAGTGCACTACATGATTGAGGCCGTACGTGTCAACAATATCCTCGTGAAGTACAACATGACGTTTACTTCGTTTTCTTGTTTCAACAGTTCCTGAATTCAACATGTTCACTTGATTTTTGTGCAGATTCTGCGTCAACATTTTTTGTTGACAACAGAGAGCTTTGACCGCAGCCACTTCCGGCCAAACAGCTCCGAGATCAACAGAGAACACTCGACCAACACCATGGAGCTGGTCAACATCTCCCAGACTGGTGGACCAGTCAACAACTATGTCCAACTGGGCATCACATTGAAGGAGATGGGCCTGAAGGTGGTGAAGTGCCTCACAACAAGTGAGGTCACAAATCCAACAGCCTTGGAACCAGACGAGTTCCACTTGTTTGCTGTGGAAAACAACATGCCAGTTTACTGGCTCATGCTCACAGTGGAGGAGTTCAACAGCTTGATTCCATTGACCAACACGGGGGAGAACAAATTGTTGCCCACAATTAGTGGGGCAACAAGAATGCCAGCCTTCGACAAGATGATCTTCAACATGTCTCCGCAGTTGGCGGCAACGACCCTTGTCTATCATCAGACAGAAGGTCATTGCTCAACAGCTGAGACAACACAGTGGATCCTCCTGAGCTTTCAACAAGATCATCAACAGAACCAACTTCGATTGGCAAATGGTGCAATCACCGTCTTCAACAGAGGATATGTGGCACCGCAGATGCAGCTTCCATGGAATCGAACACTTCGATTCAACAACTATGAGCTCAGCACCCAACAGTCCTGGGTGATCACAACGACATCTGAGACAACAAGTCTCTTGTGGACAGTCCACGATCGTCTCTCGTGGAAGCACAACATCCTGTGGACCTTCAACGTGCCTGTTGATGCCAGCAAGGTGATCAATACAGATGCCAATGAATGGCCACAGGTCGTGCAAGCCTTGGCCTACACAGGCCTACAGGCTTTGGACCACTTCGATGACGATGTCAACAAGAGGATCAAAGGGCTTTTGACACAGTCGCACCCTCTGATCCAACAGAGATCAGTGCTCAACACGAGCAACATCCATTGGCATGGAGCCAAAACAGTGGAGCGCCTGAGAGGCAACCCTGCTTTGATGTCGTTCGTCAACAAGTTCGACTACGCAGAGTATGCCCAACAGGTCAACGCTTGGAGAACCAAATGCAATGCTGGAGACAACATGGATATCGACGAAGAGGGCATTGCAGCCAACGAGGATGGCAACGATCTGTCTGGATGATTCAACATGACAGAGATCACAGTTGATGATGACATCAACAAAAGGGTGAAACTGTAACATCCTGGGTCAACACCCGAAACAACAGAGATGCTGGTGATGCAGGACACCAACATCGTTGGAAAGAATGACGTCGAATTCGGATCAACAGGTGTACACTACATGTCATGTTGTAGACAACATCTTTGATCAACATTCGATGATGTAAAGTGTACAGAATTCTTTCAACATATAGCCAATATAATAGACTGTTAATAGCCTTTTTTGTGTCAACAACGTAGTTAGCTTAGTTGCAACAATGTTCATAGAATCGTTTGTTTGTGGCCAAACATGTCAACAACACATGTGTGGCCAAGAGGCCGTGTTAATATGCAACATTGTGGATAGCCAACATACCAACGTTGGCACTGGGCTCAACTCAGGGCCCTTGGGCTGGACAACAGGTCCAGAGACAACAGCACAGTTCAACAAAAGATTGCTTCGACAGTGCGCGGCCTCAGCAACACTTTCAACAGAAGCTGCCATTTTTACACAACATACATACCAACATACATACCAACATACATACCAACATACATACCAACATACATACCAACAAACATACCAACATACCAACATACCAACATACCACCACCACAGGCCACAGGGGGGGGGGACCAGAAGAACCATACCACCACCACAGGCCACAGGGGGGGGGGAGGACCATGGGGGGGGGAGGGGGGGGGGGGTTTGGGCGTCCTGGTATATATATATATATATATACATATACATTATACATATATATGTACATACCAGTAGTAGGGGCGGAAGTTGCCTTAGGGTTATACTATAAGGCTTTTCTCATCTATAGAACTTGCATGCGCCATGCAGGCCCGTGCGTGCGTGTTTTTTGTCCAAGAACACGACCTGCCCGCAACCCCGATGCAATGCAACGCCAAGCACTGCTTTGCGTTCCAAAGCTTAGACTTCACCCTTCAGGTTGCATCTCAACTTCATACTTCATCTCAGCTCGTGTCATCTGAGCTCTTCTCACCTAATCTGACCTCATTTCAGCTTTTGTCATCTCATCTCCTTTCTTCGCAGATGTCGCCGGCTAAGTTCTTCTCAGCTACTTTCATCTCATCCGAGCACACCTTAACTTCTTTACGTCAAATGGCACTTGCTGCAACACAAGCTGGAGCGAGCAACTATATATATTTTCTTACTACAACACTTGAACAAAACACTCCCCAGTACTACTTTGTACTACAAAGCTTGCACAAAGTACTTCCCAGTACTACTTTGTACCACAAAGCTTGCACAAAGCTCGAACCAGTACTACTTTGTACTACAAACCTTGCACAAAGTTTTTTCCAGTACTACTTTGTACTACAAACCTTGCACACAGCACTTCCCAGTACTACTTCGTACTACAAAGCTTGCACAAAGCACTTCCCAGTACTACTTAGTACTACAAAGCTTACACAAAGCTTTTCCCAGTACTACTTAGTACTACAAAGCTTGCACAAAGCACGTCCCAGTACTACTTTATACGTTCATGCAACATTCATGCAGCCAGTACAATGCGTTTTGTAGCATCGCGTGGCTAACCCGCATCTCTCTACGCACATGACGACAAAACTATTGGTTTGTTAAGTTATGTGATGTATTGTTATGTGATGTAAAGTCTCACACCGACCCTTCCCCCACCACCCTTCATGATGTATTGTTATGTCATGTAAAGCCACTTCATGATGTATTGCTGTGTGATGTAAAGTCTCGCACCACCCTTCTCACACCACCCTTCGTGATGTATTGTTATGTCATGTAACGTCACTTGAATACCACCCTTCATGATGTATTGTAATGTCATCTAACGTCACTTGAATACCACCCTTCATGAAGTATTGTTATGTCATGTAAAGTCACTTGAATAAAAGTCATCCGTAACTCGGAAGATTGCTTCCCAATTTCCTTTGATTACTATATTACTCTACTTTACTATATTTTACAATATTTTACTATATTTTACTATATGTTACTATATTTTACTATATTTTACTATATTTTACTATATTTTACTATAGTTTACTATATTTTACTATATTTTACTATATTTTACTATATTACTATATTATCGCCCTTACCATTTCCACTACGATTAACCAGTGCTGGGTACCATCCCGGATTTGAGATATAAATTGACTTCCAAAAATGAAACCGTGCCTAGGATGTTGTAGTCAGCGATCATGCGCTGCTTCTTGTAGTGAGCCAACATTGGCTATTGATCCACCATCAAAAACCCCAACAGCATTTTGTAGCAAGGGGGTTGGTCCTCGTAAAGGCAGCATTTTGTAGTATGAGGCTGTGCCTGTAAACGGTTATGTTGGCACAACTTCTCTCCAGAATGCACAGGGGGATACTATATTACTATATTTTTATATTACTATATTACTATATTACTGTTTTAACTTCTTGGCCTACTTTCAGACTGCAAGTGTACGCGTGTTGCCTCCAGGCGGCTGGCGGCCGCGTCTCTGATGGCGTTTTATGGGCTGGACCTATTGGCGTGGCAATGTCCCGTGCGTTTGGGAGACCCAGATGGGGATGATTTGCCTTTCAATGTATCTGCAGATGAAGATAGCATGTGGTCGCCAGTGTACCTGAGGAATCGTTTGCTTCGCCTTTCATCTTGACATGTTGGGTTTCAAATGTCGAAATGAGGTCAATCTCAAGGTGTGCCTTTGACTTCCTTCTTTTGGTTTTGATTTGCGCAGGTTAGGAGATCTCGCTTTGAGACCGTTTGGCCTGCTCTCTGAGCCAGAGACATGGACGATTTCTGGGGGAAGCGAGAGTTTTCTCATTTTAGACGCTCAGCTGAACTATGCCGAGAATGTGTAAAATCAGTTGAAATCATCTTTCGTTCCCATTGCTCCCTGATTTGGCAGTGTCCAGCTGGCACAAATTCTGCATGACCAAATCCGGACAAGCATGCTCTCAGGTGAGCGATGGTGTTAGTGATGTACTCTCTCCCCAGCAATGTGCTGATTTGTTTGATGCTGAGGCGCCTTGTACTTCTTGCTGTTTCTTGTCATTTGTCAAAGTTTTTTAGAACGATATCCAATTGACGGCTTGCATTGTGACAGGAACCTCAGTCTTTAGCTGAAGACCTCGCTGAAGCAGCGCGAGAAGGTTGGCAGGCCCTGGAGATAACCACAATGTAGCTCTCACGTAATAAATCGATTTCTATTTGATAAATTGGAAGGCTGGATTACCCATGGATGTGCGTATCGACGATATAACAATAATTATAATTTCATTAAAAACATAAATATAAATAAATATAATAATCATTTATATAAAATAAAATATATAATTTTCACCAATTTAATATGTTTATATTTTCATTATATCTAAAATAAATGTAAGTTAATAAATATAGATAACGGATATTAGCAGAACTTGAAACCTATAATAAATCTTTTGGCAAAAAATTGTAAGATGGAAATTTGACGGATTTTGGTAAATAATTATCTGCTAAATAATATATTATAAGAATTTTGATCTTAAGAAAAAAATTATCCGTATCTTATATATTATATTCGAAAAAAAATATAATGATAAATATTAATGTTATTATTAAATTATTGAAAAATATATATTATTATCTATAATAGGATTAAGAAATTATAATATTAAATGATTGTGAAAAGAAAAAATATAATTTTGATTAATTAAAATATGGTAAATTTATAAATTGAAATAAATAAATTATTAAAAATATATATATATATATTGAAATATATATATATAAATTAGTATATAAAATATAAGAGGAAAACTATATATATATATTATAAAAAATATATTTTTAAAAAATTATAATAAATAATATTATATATTTTTATATATTTAATAATTTATTTTAGAATTATTAAATTATATTTATTTATTTTTATTTTATTTATATTAATTTATTTTAATTAAAATATTATAATTTGAATAATAATGATAATATAATAATAAGGTTTTATTTAAAAAAAATAAATAAAATATAAATGATTTTTATTTAAATAAAAAAATATATATAATAATTTAGAGATTTAAATTTATTAAAAATTTATGGAATAATAAGGTTTTATTATTAAAAAATATTAAATTTAAAAAATAATATAATTTTAGATTTAAGAAAATTATATGTTGAAAAATATTTATTATTTATTATTTATTTTTTTTAATATTATTATATAAAATGGGACGTCTATCGAAAAAATGGGCGCCCTTGTCGGAAACCCGACACTTGTAGCCGGAATTGATTTAATTCATCATGTAATTATGCTAAAAGTCCTAAATTTTCTGGAAATTTCGGATGAAAGCCCAAATTTTCACGGAAATTTGGCAATTTAGGAGTTTTTTAAAGTGGTAAATTTTCCGGAAAATTGGTACTTCAAGATTTGGATTGAATCGCGAAATTTTCCCGAAAATTGGTGTTTCGGGAGGTCGACTCAACCGCACTTTTGGCAGAACAACTCGCATCGCAATACCTGATTTGGGGGTACCCGAATTTTAGGACTCATATATTAATTATATATATATATTTGAAAATAATATATTGTATATATGTGTTTTTAATATAATATATAATATATAATATATAATATATAATATATAATATATAATATATAATATATAATGTATAATGTATAATGTATAATGTATAATGTATAATGTATAATGTATAATGTATAATGTATAATGTATAATGTATAATGTATAATGTATAATGTATAATGTATAATGTATAATATATAATATATAATGTATAATGTATAATATATAATATATAATATATAATATATAATATATAATATAATATATAATATATAATATATAATGTATAATATATAATATATAATATATAATATATAATATAATATATATATGAAAATATGTTATTTTTAGATATTTTATATATTATGATTGATATTTTATAATTGATGTATATATATATATGATTTTTTATATATTTTTTGTGGTTAATATATATTATATATATATATTTATTTTTTTGTGAATTAATTATTTTATTTTTTTATAATATAATTTTTTTTTGGAATATATTATATTTGTTTTTTTTGATCTTTAAATAATTTATATATTTATTTATATTTTTGGTGTTTTTTTGGAAAAAATATATTTTAAAATTTTTATTTTTTTGGAAAAAATGATGGTTTGGAATTATATATTATTTTATGGTTTTAATTGTAATTATATATAGATATTTATTATATGTTTTATTATTTATTTATTTTATATTGTTTAATTTAATATGTAAATTTATTTAAAATAATATTTTTGTAAATTTATAATATTATAATTTAAAATATTTTTTTATATATAATAAATATTTTAAAACAAATATATATTGTTTGATTTACATAATATTCGAATTTAATTTAATTTTTATATTTT